AAAATGGTGGGGCGTTATTTTTAATCACCCTACAGAAGCATACACTGCATGAATATACCTGGTATGTCAAGCATTGATATTGAGTAATAACTCCAATGGGATCATTACTACTTCAGGCAATGTAAAATCTGTTATGAAGCCAGTACTAAATACCTGAATAGTGAACATTTTAAGTCTATCCTTCCACTTCGGAATATGAGGATTGGCAAGGAAAAATACTCGTTCATTTATTTTCTATGCGGAAAAGTAACCAACCATGCGTGTGAAAAGCATCCACGTGTTGAGAGCATGGTTTAGAAATTCCATCTAAAGATACGGAGCATTTAAAGTTGATTGCATGCGTCTTAACGTTGAACGTAACACATGAAATCTATGAACTTCACGACTCCAATTGAAAACTTTCGGTCGATACGTTCAGGGAATATGATACAGGTAGCGATTTCAAATGGAATCACTGAGCCGTTGAAGGTTAACACGTGACATTTTCCCCTTCGGTCTTTGCTACATTCAGTCGACCTGTTCGAAGTTAATCCAAAGCAGCTGTTCTTCCATTCTTGGTCTTGCTTACCCACTCGTACTCTTTCCCACGCGTCTTGCAACTCCTCCCCTTACTGAGTCAAGTCTTGCATGAATTTCGGTGAGTTATGCATTTGAGTGCAGAAATCGAATCACTGAACGCTGCTTCACTTTGGTGGGCACAATGAAGAGTGCTGCCATCTTCTTCATCATGCCACAAGAGGCACCTTGAGAATGTGATCGAAATTATTGCTCATTTGTTTTTTAAAAGATTTAAAGAATCAGCTGCATCTATTTGATTTCTTTTATTTTTCTGTCTGACCTGAAAGACGAAATGTTTTTGTTGACTTCCATTCTCGTAGTAAAGAAAAAGTACTCTAACCAAGGTCACTAAATGCAAGGTGCAATAGGCGCTTTATTAACGTGTGCGGAAGCCGAGTTTAGGAAAGCGCATCCTTGTGACGTCACACAGGGGCTCATATTCACGGGCCTGGGAAGTGGCTTGGTTGCTAGCTTCCTTGGTTCCCATGACAGGGGCCCCCCCCCCCCCCCCCCGTTCGAAACTAAACATATCAGGCGTTTATCTTCGAATGGAAGCCTCGTAATTGGGAAAAGTAGACCCTTAAGCAATAGGTACTTCCATCTGGAGAAGTGTGATATTAATGAATCCCTGTAGCGAGGGCCAAAAGTGAGAGGTTATTAGGCTATTAGATGAGCTAAGAGGAGGTTTTGGAGGTCAGGATGTGTAAGGATTGCCAATGTTGCTTTTTCAGAATAATCAGTTATCAGAACAAAACTTATTTTACCTGCACCTCAAATGCTTTTTTTTTTCTTTAAAAATTGGTTGAGGTGAAGTCGATGCATACTCGTACGCTGCAGGGATTTTTCTAAGAATCGAGAAAGATTCGACTTCGTTTATATGGCTACATGAGAATTTTCAGTGGACAATGTCTCTACCTCTGGACAAATGCCTTGTAAATGAAATGAGCAGTTCTCTGAAAAACGCACTTAAGCGCTCATACGCCATTTTTCCTACCCATGTTCGTGGACTACTTCACAACGCTTAAAATATGATTGTGTGACCTAGAAGTAGTTAAAATATGCTTGTAGAAAAACAAGCAATTTACCCATGCTTTCGCTAGATGGCATCCAGACGTCCAGCTGTCTCTACTGTATATGGCCGCTTGCGGGAAGGAATTGGACAATTCTAAGGACAAATGTTAATTTTTAAATGATATGTAACGACTGAAAGGATCTGGAAAAGTTCTGATAAGGTGGATATAAAAAAAGGGGCTTATTAACAGTTTTTGCTTGCATTCTGGCTACGCTTAAGAAAAGGATTTGCTTTAGTACAAAGTTTCAATAATAAGAAGTCTAAGGCTCCTCATCGCTGGAAATGGATTCGGGTCAGTCGCAGATGAGCACTAAGGAGATTTTGCTCCTTATCTCGTTTTGAACTGCCTTTCGCACTTCGACCCTTTTACCCAGAGAACTCCCCAGTTTATACAGGGTGTTCTCCAGGTCTGGAACCTATGCAGATGGTAACACGGGTTGTTTTGTTTCAGGTATCATATGTCCGGCCAGTAGCAATGGCGCTGTCAAAAGAAGAGAATTGAGGTGACATTGTTATGTTGGGCTGGCCGACGGCAGTGTGCATTATGTCCACTCTGTCGGGATGGCTGGCAATAAAATTAAGGCTGTCACGATAGATCGATGCATCGATACCACTATCGATGGTTGGAGATATCGATAATTTTTTCGACCATCGCGATGTATCGGCAAAAAAGATTTTAAAGGGGGAATGTCCCATTGGATTGAGGCGGGGAAAGGAAGAGGCGGCGTGACCCGCATGGGCTTGCAATTTATCACGATCTAATTCTGGAAATGCTGAAACTCACTATATGAAAGACGGGAAGGAAAGAAAAAAAAAACAAAAAACATGTCGGATCGGAGACAGGAAGTGGGAGAGGGAGGGAAGACCGATAATTTTATTTTTTTTCTGTTTCAGTCTTCGGCTCGATCTCATAAAGTTCATGCTGCGAAAGTGGACTGTTCTTATGCTCCCTTGATTTCGAAACGTACATTGGTTAATCCCCTCTCTATATTCCCGTCTTTCTCTTTGGGATACAAGCTAATTTATTAAAATGTTTAACTTGCCCTGGGGCATTTTATCTAGCAGAACCATTCTCTAGCAAAAATTTTTAATATAGAAGCTGTATATCATCGACAATTAAGACGAAATTTTGCCAGTCACCATCAAAGCCAATTTGTATTCCCTTGAGATAAATTAGAATTGTATATACTGTTGTATATAACTGGAAGTGCCTCTGGCCGAAAGTTTTTTGAGCGCCCTCGTAGAAGTAAGAATAGAGTGTAAAAGGAGTTGTTCTCGGACGTTCACGCGTCGATGGGCCGTATTCTAATACTTGCTTAATATTTACTACTTGCAATATTTATTGCCTTAATCTGAGCAAACTTCTTAACGAGGCATCTAAGAATGACTCTCAAGTTCCTCGCCGTGTCTATTAATATCCCATGCTTAGCCTCCTGCTCAAGACCGTCATCAAAGAGTCTTAAATTAGCACCTCTCTATTCGCCTTAGGTTCAGAAAGCACAATGAGGCCGATTTGAACACCAGGGAATTTATATCCCGGAGTTTCTCAGGACAGAACTTCGCTTTGGGTAGCGATTCTGCAAAGTTTATGACTTTAAGAATCAAACTACTTCGAAAATTCTATTTTAAGTTCAACACCCAATTAGTCCGTTTTGGATATAAAAAAAAATCAATCTCTTGCCAAAGCATTTTCTAGCCTAAACATCATGTTGATATGCTCCTCAACTCGATTGCAAAGATTTCAGCATACAATTCAGCAATTAGCCATTGAGCACGATCGCAATATCGTCAGTAGGATGGACAAAAAGAACTAAGCCCTAGGGATGCTTATTGCCCCTGTTTCAAAGAATGGGAATCAATTGCGCAAAATCGCATGCCAAAGCTTGGGGGGGAGGGGGTAGAAGGTTCGTTCCATTCCTCAAAACTGATTTGTTTAAAACCCTCCCTGGACAGGATACTCCATTTAGACCTGCCGATATAGAAAAAGGGGAATTCCTACTTGTCATGTCATTTTTCATCATTTAGACTCTTTATTCGTTTGAAGAATGCTTACGAACTGCACTCGAGTCTCTTCTAAACTTGAGTTTCCTCACTACTCAATCTTCCCTGACTTGAGAGGCTTCTCCGATTCGAAAAAGTCGTGACCATCTATGACAATCAAATGTGGCCAACAGAGTAAGACCTCTTAGGTGTTTCTCACAGTGATAAACCATTGCGACCAATGTCGATTCCAGCTGAATTGTTGGAGCGCGGAAGGGGTTTTCCTCCGTTTAATTTCACCCTCGGAAACAGTCCGACTAAAGAGTGATTCAAGTGGGAATGTCGCGCAGCGGGGAATTCCTCTGCCCTACAGTTAGAATTTTATGAAATTGCCTTGTGGAGGCGTCATACAACCACATTTTCACCATAGCTGTGATTCAAACTGATACTGCGCTGATATTTCGCGAAAAAAGGAAAGTGCATTTAGATGGCATAAGTTTGAGGAGTCCTTCATCCTTTCATCGACAAAATATTCTCCAAAGGAAGCCTTTTCCTGCTGTTACCCTTGAACGTACCCAGAAGCGTCACTGGCCAGTATTGAAAGGAATGACGTAAAGTAAGACGTAATGGTCATGTGACCATCTTGAGCACCTTGCTTTGCCTAAGGAACACACTTAGTTCAGCAAGTTGCTAAGATGGAAATAGAATTCCAACTTGAGCGACATGCTTAGCTAAGACAAATTCTTCACATTAAAATTTTTTTTCTTATCTGAGAAATAAATACTGTAGAATACGGCCCCAGATCTCGAGGGGTCCTCCAGTGATTTGGAAGGTTACACTACCGCAGGCCCGGCAATAATTCTCCCTACTCTCACCAGCCCAACAGATTTTTTGTTCTCTTCTTACAGCCGAAAATCCAGCTCCCGCACTGATCAACTTTTGCAGAAAGGCAAACATTTTCATTAAGGGGTTCGCTTTATCACGAGCTGCGTCTTCGTAAGGCAGATGAAGTCCATCGATGACAATCAAATTCCATGCCCGTTATGTCTCCTGTCAACAGATTTCACTCTATACTGTACACATGAAGATAGATAGAGACAGGGACCGACTTCCGTGTTGGGAAACGTGGGAACATGAAACCAAGTGTGTCTTCTCGTCACGGCAAAGTCGATGGGAAAACCATTAAGTACGGTCCTCCTTCTCCTCCAACCAAGGGTGGACGGAACTACAATTTACCGCCTTTTTCCTCGTCGATAATTCCTTCTACTCCGTTGCTGCACTCCGCGTTTCGTCATCGTGTTAGGCGAGATCGGTGGATTCAGCTAAAGTTGGTGATGGCTTTCTTTTTCTTCTCTCTTTATGCAGATTATGTCGTGAGAATTTGTACGAAATGACGGCAACCGGTAAAGGATTCATCTTTCCTGGAACTTCGAAGGAATGCGAAGGAGGTGGAAAGAAATGCGGACAGTATCTGTCTGGGAGTTCCTTTTCCTCTGATTCTGGTGTCGACGACTTGTCGGGGTCGACACCCGAGCCTCAGCCTCGTCCTTCGTACATCTCCCCTTTGGACGCGGGATTCCGGCGAGGAATAGCCATCGGTCACAAATCCTTCCTCCATTCTTACTATACCGGTGATTCCGCGGAGATCGCCCGTGTGAAGGCTGGCCTTAAAGAGACCGGGATGAGAAGGAAAGAAGAAAGAGAAGAGGAAGAAGGAATCAGCCATCCGGATCCTGGCGGCGGTCAATTTCCACGGGCCGCGGGACACCTTGATGGGAAGGGGAAGGGGAAAGAATACAAGCTGAGTGTGGCCATCACCCCTCAGACTGTGGCCGCGCTCGCCTCCAAATTCAACGCCATGATCAAGGAACAAGAGACCCGTTCGGGATCTCCATCTCGGCTGGAACTTCGACTCGTCCGGTTCCAGAAGAGACGAAAAAACAAGACTGCAGTGGACCAAGTGAAACGATCTCGATCCGTCCAAGACTTCCTCCATGGGGATCACGTGCCCAGGACTTCTTTATCGAAGTCTCAACCTGACCTCACGCAAAATTCTCCTCCTCCTCCTCCTCCACCGAGTCCAGGTAGGAAGTTTTGGGAATCCAAGTCGAAAATATACGAAAACGTGCGCGGAATGGTGAAGAATGCCATGAAGACATTTGAATCCAGCAAAACCGTGAAGAAGGAAACTTTTCTGAACGGTTGGAAGCATACAACGGACGTGCACAAGTTTTCACCCGCGTCCCCTTCGAAAGAAGAGGAGAACTCGAGAGTCATCGAAGGGAGGAGTGAAAAGGACAACCCCATTCCGAATCCCTCCTTCCTTTGGGATAGTGTGAGTGTGAAGAAGAGCCTGGAGTTGGGTAATCCCATCCCTCCACCGAGGAAAACGAAGGCTTTCCTGTGGAAGCGATTCCATTCCCAGCCCTCAGTGTCTCCGTCTCAATTCTACGACGACTGCCACGTCGCTGACAACCCGAAGAGTGATTCCTCCTCCTCGCAGTACGATGACATCAAGACGGAATCTTCATCCTACAGGTACGAGGACATAAAAAGTGAAGGCTACGAGGATGTGAAAGGGGAGTCGGGTTACTTGGATGCCAAGTGGATGAGAAGTTCCCCTCACGGATACTTGAAGGTGTTGGGGGATGGGTCATCGGAAGAGACCTACAAGGGATCTTCCAGTGCCACTAGTACGTGGACTCCAAAATACGACACCGGAGATTCTCGAACTCCGAACTATGAGAGCTTCGGGGAGAATGAGACAGAGAGTGAAGTCGTGGAATGTCGGAATCCATTGGTGTTGCCAGCCCGGGATGGCTTGGTCCTCGCCCGATTGGCCGTCGTCACGGATCAAGAAGAAAGCCTTTCCTATGTCTACGATCACCATGCAGGTAAATCTGGTGCCTTTATCTTCTTATTCAGTTTATCGTTGGAGATGCCAGCCGATGCGGAATGTAATAGGTCCTGATGGGGGGTCCGAATCGGGGGAACGCGGCCCGAGTGACGCCGGAAGCGAGGAATGGCTGGACGTGACGGACAGTGACGAGGAATCCTCTAATACCCCCGCCGTCGTTCTTACTGGGTCTGTCTTATCACTCGCACATCAACTGGCTCTACCTCATTTTACCCCGATACCATTATTTTCAAGTGGCTGTTTCATGGAAAATGCATAACTTTTGCGAAGTTGTGACAGACTCCCTCGAATTTCCTCAGGAAAAAAATACAATAACAACTTGATGTATAATTGGCATAGAAAGCATCCAAGTTAGTATCGTTACTCTTTCTCATTAGTTTCTTATTGGATTTTGGCAAATCGGCATCGGAAGATATGCATCGGAGAGATAGTGTGCATATGCTGGAACTCAAGTACTGAAGCACTGAGAGCATCAAAACAAGAAGACCTATAGTCCATCCAGTCCAACTTTGCCACGCCGGCATTGCCTGTTTTATGGTAGTTCATTAATTTTGTGCTGTCATCAGTTTGTCAAAATGTCGGAAAGGGGTTCGAGGCTATCAGTGGCGGACCTAGGTGTTCCTGGCACTCGTCAGGCATCTTATCAAGATTTCGAAAACCATACATATGTGATGCCCCCCCCCCTCCCCTCAGGAGCGTCGCGCCAGTGTCTGGCGGAGGGGTCAAAGGGAAATCACCCTCTTCCCTCAGGGGAGAGGAAGATGGATGGCATTTAACGAATCCTTTGAGGATTAAAAATGTGGCAAAGTTGGACCGGATAGACTATACCATGTGATCGGAAGTTGCGAACTAACTTAAGGCAAAGCTACTGGGCGGATTTTGTGAACAAGTGATAACCATTCCTGATGGCATCGAAGTGCCTTTAACCCCTTCAGTGGCAGGTTTTCTGACCCGCTACGAGAAAAACCTGAGAATTTCTCGGGTATACTGGTGCAGGGGTAAAATCATAACGTAGGTAATGGTGCGAGTACTGGGCAGCACTATTTACCAACAGCTCGCATGACGATATGGAGCAAGCTCTTGAGGCAGGAGAGTGGCTCTTGATTTGTTTATGACTCTTTCGGTACTGCAAAGTATTTTGAGTGAGGCATTGAACTGAATAATCGAAAATCAAAGGCATCAGTTTCCCAATTAGATACTTTTGGATTCGTCTTGGCGTTTGGGATTTCTATAGTTGAACCGTTAAAAAGTACTGAAAAAACTAATATATGAATAATCCTCTGCCTGCCGAAGAGCAAAACCGACCGGTTCGATCTTGATAGATGACATGCAGATGGACAGATGGGGATGTTGCTCACAGTCGGCGGATCTCTTGAGCGAACGGGAACGGGGAGACGTCATGAATGTTGTCACATCCCCTTCCCCAAATTTGTTCACGCCGCTTGTCGGGATCGGATGACTGCCCTCGTTTGCTCTTTCTGGAGGACGGATTCTACGTCTGTACGCAATTCACGCCAAGTCGTCGTACGAAACGACGTACCGTCATTACAGCATACATCAACCTGAGAGCTTGAATCCTGCTAAGAATTAGATGTCTATGACTCATTTAAGCCGAGTGGTCTATTTATCGACCACATGCCGTATTTAATTGCTGAATTACTCGAAACAGTTTCCTATCAAATCGACCGACTGAATAGATCCAGGAAAACGATAAACGAATTCCGCTGCCGAATCTCGTTCAAATACGCAATCGAACACGCACATCCATCTCCTCTTGAGCAGTCAATTTCCGCGCGTTTGGAGAAAGAAAAAATCAAGCCTTTAATGGGTTACGTGAGGGACGCAATACCAAGCTCAGTGAGGGTCGAGGGAGGGAGGAGGCACCTGGAATCTTCATTTACTGAAACGGAAAGGTCCAGCTGTAGAAGTCCATTTTCCTCCGTCACCATTATGAACATGGTCGCCACGAACCACGTTGCGATTTTGTGTACATACTCTCCTACGATTTTGCGCGATCCAGGGTCCTCTGTGGTCCGTTCGGTCTTTCCGCATCTATATCGACTGTCCGCATCTATATCGACTACCGTCCCCTTTGCCCCCCAGGATGATTCGAACTACGATGTGACATGTATCGAGTTACCTTTTTTTTCTCTCCAACAAATCAGGTTCCGTATCCGTGGGCGGAGTGAAGGAAGAAGTTCCAGGATTCGTGTGAAACGCTCCTGGTCAAAATCTATCCGAGATTTCGCCAACAGTCGCCCTTCACGATGGATCACTGAAAAAGGTTCGTGTCGACATACGTTGAGGGTTAACATCTCATGTGGTTCGCCTTTCGTGACTCCTCACTAGCGGTACCATACCTATATTCTCCGATTTGTACAGCGAAAAAAAAAAACACGCAGAAATATTTGGTCACAGGTTGCAGTACGATGAACTAGTGCTTTTATGAAAGAAGTTCGTATTCTCATTCGAGGCGATGGATGTATCGATGGATGTAGAAGGGGGATATCATTCGCTTGGAGTGGGAAGTCATCGGAAAAAAGCCTCCAAATCTACGTTTTCTTTACTTGGCTGGACCTATTCTTAAACTTCAGTCAACATGGTAAACTTTAATCTGCATACCTATGAATATTTCGGGAAAATGTAAAGAAAAAATACCCTGGAACTCGTTCCGACCGGCTGATTGTAATAGTGCACCCTTCCCCTCCGAACAGACGAACTCCCTTCATCAATAGGCCTGACGATTATGAAGGCTTCTCCTACGTTGATATTCTTCTTTCCCGAATTATTCTTCTTTCCATATCATACCATATATATTATACATTAAATTAAATAACTGAAGATTACAAAACTAATGGGTGAAAGAAGGCCTCTGATGGAACTGAGCCATGCATAATTGTGCCCGTTGCAGCGTAATATAGAGCGCAAAGTCACGAGAATCCTAAGAAATTGCCATAGACACAATGTAAAAGCAATGTCCATTGGAATGGACGCCAGGTCTGAAAGGGTTAAGACCGCCGCACACGAGGCAATTTTTGTTTGCTAGGTCGTGTGCGCCCGGGGGACACACACGGAGGGATCTGCAAGCAATGTGATTGGTCGATGCTAGAATTAGGGTCCGCCTACATCGCAGCAACATCGCAGGACCTCCACACCCGGAGCATTAGTCGAGCGACGGCAATATTTATCACAGGAAAAATGAGCAGGGAGCAATATCCTGCGACGGTCGTGCGATGGTCGCGCGACCATCGCAGCACCCCCGCACACGCAACAATATCGTGTGGAGCGACAGTCGCTCGACAAAATTGCCTCTTGTGCAGCGGGCTTTAATCTTTGCAGGATCTTGAGGACCAGGGTCAGGCCGAAACCGTAATTCTGTGCGGTCAGGCATTTGAAGCCTTCGATTATCTTTGGCTATTTTTCAGTCGAAGGCCGAATGTTGAGCCTGAAAATTTTCAAGCATTAAGTTCTCTGCAGATCACGGTTCAAAGAATCGTCTAGGAAAGAGTGCGACTGACCAACCGATTGGGACTTCCGTTTCCCATGTACAGGTATAGAGAGGGTTGGTGACTCGTCCGATTCTATTACACATACAAGAGCTGTACACGAGGACATACTGCTGTGCGCACCCGTTTAGGTGCATATAAGTATATTGGAAGCTGTATTTTTGCTATATGACACGCGCTTAGACCTTCACATTTATTCATGAGTGGACGGACAACTGCATGAATTTTTTTGTTGCAAGAAATAACATTTTGTTTAACCCTTTTAATACCACGCAACCGATTCGTAGGCTAAAAATGACGATATATCGTTCTCCTGGCACTGAGAGGGTTAACAGGTCTCTTCTACAGTATTCTCTGCAAAATGTGAAGAATTCCCTGCAACCAATTTTCCTCAACGAGAACGTTTTTTGTAATTGACAGTTGGATCCAGCTGATACATGACAGCTTTGTTGTATTCACCCTCGGTCACCCGGTCGACAACAGCAGCCTCTATCGGGATACAGCGCCATCTTGCGGAAGTGAAAAAAAAAATCTCTTAGACTCGTGAACCTCTCCGTCATGTATCAGCTGGATCTAACTGTCCCTTAAAAAATTAAAGTTGAAAAGTTCCTTGCATTCTGAGACGGTCGAGCACAGGTCATTATCTCACTTGAGGTAGAATGCTCCGCCTCTTTTTCTGCACCATTTCTGCACTCACGGAGTCTCATTGCATGCTTGTCACAGACAAGCATGCTTGCGAACGTTCTAGGCTACACCTTAGACTCCTTTTTTAATGTTTGTTTTGAACTCCACGCAATTTCGCAGTTTTGGCGCATACTTTCTCGAAGTATCCCAAAAGGAAGAAATTTCTTGGATTGAGGTGAGGGCTTCTGGGCTGCCACATTCATTCAGATCATCGAGAAAGCATGCGGTTCCCAAGTTTCTGATGCAGGAAGTGCATAACAGCATTAACAAAGTGTGTTGTGGCAATGGGTGACATGCACCAGATCTGTTTAAATTCAAACTGATTCGTTTTCATAATGGGCGTCTCTGGGAATAAGTTAATCTCTGTTAAACTTATTCCCATAGGGATCATTGTGAAGTCAGATTAATTAAAATCAAACGGATTTGGTGCATGTCACCCAATATCCTGCTGTAGCTATGCACTTTGAGGAGGGAACACCTAGAGGAACGTTTTCATGTGATGCATCGAAACCGTAAAATTTCGTGGAATCAAAAGTAAACATCGAGAAGAAGTGTAAGGTATCACTCAGGACATTCGTCAGCGAGTCATATATATTGATAATTGAGGAGTTCTCTAGAAAAAGGGCGTATGTGCAAAAGATGCAATTCGAGATAAACGATAAAAACTTCCCATGGCTAATCTGAAGCTGGTTAAAACCTATTTATTAGTAAAATGGTATCTTAGACCTTTTCCCAGTTGAACTTGAGGTTTTAATGAATTTTTTTTATTATCTCACATTGCTGGGATGCAGGCAGAAAGTGTTTATGCACATACGCCCTTTTTTCATATCCGCACTGCTGAAACTTTTTCCTACGAGTCTTTCACCACTTCTTTCAAGTTAAAAATAATAATTATGGGAGCGGACCCAGTTAGCGAACACCCTAAGGAGAAATAATTGAACTCTAGGTCAGCAATCACACTGAAGAGGATTCTTGATGCTGATCCCGCTTTTCTTCCACTCCCAGGTGTCATCTGATAATATTCATGTAAATCCGATCGTCTTCTGCTACACGCATTTGCTGCAGGACAGCTCAAAACGCTGCATACTTGAATTTCATAGATAGCGAACACCTTGCCCCAGTTAGCGAACAGTTACTGAGCCAGTTTGCGAACGACCTTACA